GAGACAAGTGATAAGCAGTTTAATTACGTCCCTCATAATATCTATGCTTACATTGCCTTAAGTGCTTTAAAATTGCTAATGAAAGAACTCGTTTCATAAGAAAGTTTTTATTTGAACACAGGAGTGAAGAAGTAGTACGACGCCAGAGCATTGTTTCAACGTTTTATCTACCCTTACAGTATCCTCGTTGAAATAAGTTCGATCTACAAATCTGAAAAAAGTAGAAAGGGGAGCGCGAAGATAAAAATTCTCTGTTAGATATTATTACATTATTTCTCTGTTATCAATTATGCAGACGTTTCATTGAAATCCTTTTTCCAATACCGCTCATCCCCATTTCCACTTATAGAACCATACAAGCTAATTCTAGGCGCGAGCGACGCGAAAATAGAAACGCGAAAAAGTTCCCGACAGCTTTCGCATATTCCCCCGTAACACGGCGCCTCAAATAAAGTCGGAGAAGGTCTTTGTCCTCGATTCAATTATGTATCAAGTATCGCTGACAATACGTCTCTGGCACTGTCCGTGTGTCTGGTTCTTGGTTGAATCAATGAGCCTTCCTCCCCCGCAGAGAAAAATTCTACAAAAATCAAAGAGAGAGAGAGCGAGAGTAAAAAAAAAGGAAAATCTGAGGGGAAGTAAAAAGTGCCAATAAAGTTTCCAGCAATAATCCACGGGGTATTATAACCGGAGTCGTGCTTAAAAATCGCATTTCTATCTTCCTTCTCTGCCGCGGTTTCCACCCCGACTCTTACCCTTCCTTTTTTTTTTTTCCTCTCCTTTTTCCAAGTAGTTCATCCTGGGCCTACACAGCACGGGAACCACGCATATTACGTGGTCCATGGACATGTACACCGTGTACAATTCGGTGTAGGTGTGCTGTATGGGGTATGGAACGCGTGCGCGGGTGAAATGACGGCTATATAAGGATGCGTACGCGTATTCAGCCGGTACTCAGATTTGGAGAACCGCATCGGACAGGACACACTGTGACAAAGTTCGCGAAATGGGCCTCACCAGAAATCACCTCGTCAGCCTCTTGCTTTACGTCATCGTCGTCAATGAATTCCGGCTTCCCCTGGTAAGTCCGCAACCCGTTTCGCATTATTCTGCGTTCTGTTCAAGGACCGTCGCACCGAACACGCGACCCTGTTTCGCGCTAACTTCTCATTTTGTGCGCGTTTTCTCTTTTGAGGATGAAACGAGTCGTTAACAGTTTTTCGCGAATGACACATGTGCAATTAATACGTAATTTTAGCAGCAATAGATCAGTCTTAATTCATTTTATTAAAAATGTCAGATTCATTGGATTATAAAAGAACATTGATTTTATTAAATTGTGGATAACTAAATTTTCACTAATGTTTTTAAATTAAAATTAGTAAAAGTCTTGAGTTCTTGTGATTCAGAGGTATAATTAACGTAGAAGCGGGGAAAGAAGAATAAATGTCTTGTGTGCGATAGGGCACCAGTGCTAAAGAGGAATTTTAGTGAATCCTACGGAAATTCTGTCGATAATTAACGTTCCTAAAAGCGATCTGATTTCTGTAATAAAGGGAATCGCTTGATCAAATGAAATTTAAGCTTGGGATACGAGTTAGTCGTTGAACCGTGCATTCATAAAGCCGAGGATTGGAAATTGGCTGTTTTTTCTCGAATTCTTCAAACGATTTCATTTTTTACAATTTTTAATTAGAGATATGTCATTCTAATTTCATAGAAATTAATACATACATGCACATATCCTATTCCATTATAAAATTTAGCAAGCAACCAATTAAAAGTCTCTTAAAATGAGTGTTTGAATAATCCATACATTATCGGGTTTTTATCTGTTCATTAAGTATTCAGAATGATCACCTCAAAAACTTTGGAAATTACAGTTTGTTTGTCGGTGGAATTAATCTGGATACTTTCCTGTGATCCACTCTGAGTAATATAACGCACGTCCTCTCTGGGAGGACGAACCCCTCTAAAAAGAAGGTCATGAATAAAAAAGTCCCTTGGAAAAGAAATCTTCAGTGGAAATTATTTTAATTAAAAAATATTGACAATGAAAGATTAATATAATGTAATATACGTATTTTAATAAAAATTACCCATTCAAAATTGTCAATTAAAAGCAAACTTACGTTCCTTACGTATTAAGAAATTAAAATGAAAACGCTTTTCAATTTCTTTAAGGATTTATTGGCTATATAGTTAATCCCAAAAGTTTATGTATTTTAGA